GCGCATGTTTTGGTTTCGTTCACTGGGTAGCCAACTTTCTGACACAAAACGCACCCACCGACCAACGGCTTCTTAGTCATTAATCCGAAAGCAGCAAAGACATGGCTCGCAAGTGCGACACTGTCTGAGGAGTCCGCCGAACAGGTTTTCCGACGACGGCGAGCAATTTGTGATGATCGTGCCGAGCGTTGTGCAAATCCAACTGTCCCGCGACGACACTTTTCGCAGCCGAACCGTGTGCTTGTTGCCGCTCGGCCTCGTCCGATCATCATCTCTTCTGGAAGCCCAAGTGCTTGCGTCCCCGGTCCTTGTCAGGACGGCCCGAGACGAGGCGCCCTCCAGTGCGGGGCGGCGGTAAGGACGAACCCACGAGTCGACGTGGTTCAGTTGTTGATTATTCCTCGATTTTGCCACCGCAAGTGTGTGTATCAACATTATTATTATTATTATTATTATTCTCTCCGACGACCATTAGCATTTCCACAGCCCCAACTTTCTTGCAACCCAACACCCGCGTTCCAAGGGAGGAAAAGAATTGGGCGCGGCGCGCGGGCAAAGGCGGGGTATATTCCACATGTGGTGCCATTTCCCTGTCCTTGCGACCGGCCCGCGCTACTTTCCCCGTTTGTCAATCAACTCCGTTCCCCCTCCCCTCCAAGGCGAGGGCCCTTGCTGAAGATCCTTACTTCTGCGCCGTTGGCACTGCGAACTTTCAAATCCCGACGTGTGCTTAGAAACCAACCCCCGGGCTTTGATCAGCGCTGTGCGGATAGCAATTCGACAGTACGGACTTACAGAGTCGTAGGGGATGGCCAGCGTCATCGTCTAGTCTCTTTCGACGTGCATGCGTGCGCTGTACGGTTTGGTTGTCGTCATTAGAGTTTCGCGCAACTCTATTAGACTCTAGACTACAGATCCTTTTGGGGGGCCATGTTGGATAGGATCGTTCGGAGATAAGCAGAATTACGAGATAGTCAGATGCCAAGGAAAACGTGGTATCAAACCATGAAGCTATCTCGAGGAAGCTGTCCTACTAGTTCAGGTAAGGAGTTGGCCGGCGAAATTCTCGGTTTCGGTGGCAGACTTTGTCCGCCGGGTCGCATTCCGTGATTGGTGAGAGAGGGGAGGTCTGAAGGTTTTCCAAGGGCGCCGTCCCAGCAGATTGCAACATCAAGGGTTGATCGACTGCGGTCAGAACCTTAAAAACAACTTGTTGCAAGAAACCCACGGCCGCGCGACCCAAGAGACGGCGATGTCTGGCATTGACATGGCATGGCCATGAGGACAAGGCAGCCCAACCAAACCTTATGATCCCTTCCCCCCTCAAAGCCTGGGGGTTTGTGGTGCACTGGTGTTCTGCCATGCTTGATATCTATCTATTAGACTTTGAGGCTGCGGGGCCCCCGACGGCCGTTGAAGGCGCTGTCCCTCCTGCCTGGAACGATCTACCGAAGGGTTTAAGACAGCTCCGGGGAAGGGTTATATCAAGTTTGTCGACTCAGAAATAACCCCCTATCATGACAGAGACATATCGCGGGCCCCCAAGTTGTGTCGATGCGCTTGTTTTGGTGGTGGTCTGGCGACCCGCGACATGAGAGTTGTCGTCTCTTTGGGCCTCGTGCTATCAATATCGACAAACCCTTGCCTGGGTGATTCCCGGCACGCGGCATCAGTCCCGAGTCTAGTCTCCCTGGTTTGACTGCCAGGCCGCCTCCCAAATCCTGACAGCTTCAAACAGTACGTAACATCTTCTTTCTCGGTGACCATTATCCTGACAACGCGCTTCTCGCAGGATTGCTACACTGCCATCGGCAAGGCTGTGCGAGCGATCGCCTGCCTCTCTTCTTCTCGGAGTAACCGCTCGCAAGAGCCCCGTATTATGCCGTCCCGAGTTGCCTTTCTCTTTCATCCACCCCGGCCTGCGTGCCTGTGTCTTCGGTGAGGTTATCGGCGAGACGGAATCATCCGTCGAAAGCGCAAGCAAACACACGCATGGCTTACTTGATTCAGTCGGCCACTCTGACAATCAACAGGGCTGTCTGTGTGGGCTTTGTACACTACGTATGACGATGAGCATCTTGTGGTGCACGGGGAGGGGACCACGGGCCACCCGGGGAAGCAGCCCGGCGAACGCTTTGTGCGATGGCAGATGACAACGGCAGCAGTGAGCAGCAGGCTGAGGTGGCAGGCTCAAGGCAACCCTTGCTGGTGTTGCTGCTGCTGCTGCTGCTGGGTTGATGTCTATCAACGGAGTGTGGGGCGTGTTCTTCATGCCCGTTCTAAAGTCCATCACAGTGTGATGGGTATCCATACTGAACGACCGGGTTGGTTTGTCAGTGTCGAAAAAAAAGGGACGGAGTTTCCCGTTGACAAACTGAAGAAGCTGCAGGATTTTCTTTTGCCTTTTTCTTTCTTGGGATACGATGTGCATACTCCGGCCAGAAACAGCAGTTGCCCAGGCCGGCATTCCCAGGTGCATCCGCCAATCTGCGAAGTATATCCGAATGATGTGCAGCGCTTTACGTGTCAGGAGGTCAGAGAGAGAGAGAGCCCAAGGGGCCACACATTTTACGATACGGCCAGTTAGGCGTGGGCCAACAAGACAGGAGAGGGAGGTAGATACACACGGATACGCTGGGCAGACATGGCGACCAGGACTGGGGGAGATACATACGGCAACTCTCCCGAGGCTCAAGGGCATGGTCAGCAAGATGACCGTTTCATAGCCTCGCTGGATGTTGCGCCGGGTCCCCAGGGGAGGGAGGGGGCCGGCAGGCAAGGGAAACACACAACAAGACGGGCGGGGAGTGGGACGGACAGTCAGTCCGTTCGTGACGTGCAATATCGGGAGTTGCTCCGGGGCCGCGGTCGAAGAATTACTATGTACACTGGTGGCTTGTGGGGGCGAGAATGAACGGATCAGCCCGTTTTGGGACGCGGTGGCCGTGAACGAATGGTGAGCGGACGGTGACAGGGCAGGGCAGGCGGCGTGGCGGTCCGTTGGGCGAAGCAGGTACACGTGTATGCCAGATAGGGCAGAAAATAGAAAAGTAATAATAAAAAAAGGCATGGGCCGTGGTTGAAGTCGTTGGATGTGGGACGATGGTCAAGGGTTTGCAGGAGAAGTAGCTCCGAGAGCAGCATGTTGTGTGTGCTGTAGCGAGGTGTGATGGCGAGGCGATGCACCGCGTTGCTGTACGCTGTAATGCAACCTGGCAATGGGCAGCGATCAAGGGCAGCGCTGCGCAGCGGCCCGGCGGGTTGAGAAGAGATTCCTGTTTTTCCTTTCCATCTCGGGTGATGAGGTTCCCGCTCAACCGCTGCTTCTTGCTGGGGTGCGATTTTTGCATTTTGGGCATCATTGGCTCGCTGTCATGAAGAAATGGTGGGTTCTTTGACGGGGTTCAAGGAGGTTCCGTTTGACTCGAATGGCATCACAGGCGAGCGGGAAGGCCCGCGGGAGACGGTCCAGGGGGTTGGGTCGGACGACTCAGTCGGGCATCCTCGAATCGCAAAGGCTGTCCTTGTTTCGATTTCGTGCCGCTCGTCGACGTTTTCCCTTGGTGATTGTCCGTCTTTGATTTCGCAACTCTTCTCTCCAACTCCCGAGCCTAGGCATGGTTCGCCGGACGGGAACAGAGACTCGTTCTGGACTCGACGCGACGCTGGAACCGCGGGGAACGGAATGCAGCCAGCGACGGCAGACATGGACCGCAAAGGGGAAAGGACGAAGGACGGTGCGGTACGGGAAAGCCTTTTCCCCTGATCGGCTCCCCTAGTGGGATGATCTGATGTTCTGGACGCGAGGGCACGAGGGGGTCGGAAAGGAGGTTGACATATTGTTCAGGGTTCGCGTGCTCCAAAGGTGGTATTCAGCAATTGCCCATTTCATGATGTGTTATTCCTTTCTTGGCGGAGAGTTCAGAGGCCCCCGGGCTTTAGTTTTCTCTCGTTGAGTGATTTTCAGGGACGAACAAGAAGGGGGAACCCTGAATCCTTGATAGACTCGCGTCAGGCATGAGTTGACTCTGGATGCTCGGAAAGTTTCTTTGATGACAGCCGTTTGACAGCACGCTACGCCCAGAACGGTAAAGGGGTTCGAAACGGGAAACGGCCAAAATTGGAGCCTCAACGTCTCTCTGTCTGGGTCTTGTCCTTGTGCCGACTTGCCCGAATGTGCTAGATACCCCCAGTTCTTCTGTTGAATATTCTGCCCGTTGCAATATTCGAGACTTGTTTTGATGTTCTCGTCTTGAAGATCAGGCGCGGAGAGCAGCGCTGTAGCCGAGATGGCTTGCCGATGGGGGCAATTGGGGGCGTCTTGTTCCTCATTTACGCGGTGATGGGGTACTGACTCTTCGGACTCTGGCAAATGTCAGAGCGCGGCCCAAGGGAATGGGTGACTGTGCGGGTACCTACGTCACTCTGGGCAGATGGAGCTCGTTTCTCTCGAAATTGACTCGGTCTCTCTTTTTGTGAACAAGGTGGGTTTGTTGTTTTTCTGGGTGGATATGTGATTGATCCAAAGGCCCATGCTCTTGTTTAAAGTCGGATCCGGGCCGGATGTCGGGGTTCCTGAGTCGTTATTCCCATATGCTCTGTCAGTGCGTCGCGGGCACGGTCTTTATGAAAAGTGATTGATCCTCGAAGAATCTTGGGATGCAAGATACGAAGGGGCTGATCCGATTCCCTGGGGTTGTGAGAGTTGAGCGGCCGTGATCGCGTGCTCAAGTCACAACCGCGACGATCGTGTCAATGATGGCCTGGATGGCTGGTAGTGTGCCTTCCGGGCTGAGCACGTCACGTCGTGCTGTGCCGCAGTTCGCGGCCCAGAGTTTGATATTCAAAGAACGGGATGTCCAGGTGCGGAAGACGGAACCACAGCGCGTGAACAACTGTTGCGGAGCGCTGTGGCAGCCGGGAGGCAATCATCGCGGAACAGAGGAATAAGACCCTGGGCGTCGGGAGGCAAGACGGGGGCCGTTCCCTTGTCTCATTCTTCATAGGGCTTCACCGAAGATGGAGATTGGGGGTTCGAGCCGGGGGTCGATCACAGCGAGAGGGAAATGGGAGGGGGGTGCGCTCATGGGCACCGTTACGTGGCCCAGCCCAGGGTCCTGTCTGTTGGTAGCACCGTAGCAGGCTGGCATCTCTCTGCCCTGGCTGCGCGACTCATGTTGGGCGGGAATACGGCGGAACAATGAATCGTTGCAGGAACTGCTGGTAGGGTTGCCGGTGTCCGTGCTTTTGACGAGATGAACGCCCACGGTTGAGGGCCGTTTCTGCGGTTCCTGAGTGCAGTTGTCAAAGGCAAGATATCCGACGTTCGTGAGTCGAAACTTCAGGTGTGCGGTGGCCGCTTCGACGTGGTGCGATGCCGAACCAGTCCGCCGGGGTCCGGGCATCTAAATCTGGAGTCCCAGGGTGTTTGTGAGACCACATCGGCCGGCTGAGAACGGTGGCTATCACCATTCAGGCCGGTCGTCGGCCGCCATCGAAGCGAACCGTGGAATGTTGGTCCCAGGACACGGCGGTCCCAACAGTCTGGCATCCGTGTTCTTCTGCAGAATTGGGGCACGAAGGATCGGTTCCGCGTTGGGTACGGATAGAGACAGGTTCTAGCGAAATGGACTCTGTTTCGAAGGAATTGAGGCCGAATACTGTGTGGATCAAACGAACGACAGCAGGATGACGGATATTAAGTTCCCAAGAATGCCCTGCGATATGGATCCGAGTCGTGGTCGTGTTGGTTGTTGGCGGTGCCTCTGTCAGGTTCTTGTCAGCCGTGCCTCCTTGGTTCTGCATGTGTCAAGCCTGTCAAACGTCAGGTGCGTGAATCACGGTGCTGGGGAGTCCGACGTCTCGGGCAATATTTGAGTGAAAAGGGACTTTGGAAGGATTTGAGGTGCCACAGCTGCTGCAGAGCTGACAAGAACAGTGTCAGATCCCCACACAGTCGCAGTTGCCCCCTTTCATGACATCGTGTCTCGCTGCTGACTTTCCCAATGAGGGAAATGCTCACTGAAGCTGTGTTTGGTATCGGCTCCGAGGTTATTCCCAAAGGCATCGAGGTGAGACAAGACCGTTGATTGCTCAGGATACGGCCTGCCGCTGGTCGTCTCCACTGGGGGGGGGGGTTAGCATGACTGGTTCGCAGAGCTCCACCGCTTAGCGTGTGGCTTCCTAGACTGCTGTTGGCACCGGACTGACATCGCAATTCGAAGAATGTGGCGGACATAGCTCAGTTGGGAGAGCGTCAGACTGAAGTCAACTTCAATCACTTAATCTGAAGGTCGTGTGTTCAATCCACACTGGCCGCATCTTCATCTTTTGCCATTATTGGCTTATTCTCTTTTTTTTTTGTTCTTTCTCTATCGATCAGCTCGAGTCTTGATTTGTGGAAAATATAAGAGGGTATGCTCACATGTCTCCAAAAGACGAATGCTCTGTGCCTAATATGTCGACGTCGGTTTGGATGCGTCCTTCGTCACTGAGGCCGCTGTCTGCGATACCTGGGCCGATGACTTCCCCATTTTCGCGTGCAACTCAATAAATTTCCAACAAACTTGTTGAGAATGGGTGCCTCCTTCCAAAATAGAATGAGACAGTCGTATTCAAATTGTGGTCTGCATCTTGCCTAGTGATGCTGCTGGTGATGCTCTGAATGAGCGATAGGCGGGACCGTCAAAGCTCTGCCGATAAGGACCCGGCCCGGAGATAATCCACGCCCGCAATCTCCCGGGACATTTCGTCACGAAACGCGACTTCGCAAAGCTTCACTTAAACTCCAGTACACGACGACGACACGCCCACGCTCCAGTAGCATCCGCATCGCATTCCAACACGCCGCCCGCGCTTATTTGCCTCCCAATATACCCTCTCTATCCCAAGACTGTGCACATTGCCTTTGCACAGTCGCCCGCCACCTGCCCACAAACACCCCCACCACAGCTTTATGCAACACTGGCCAACTGAGTCTTCGGAAACGCGCAACCAACAAGACAACCCTTCGAACCCCTCCACCTCAAGTCAGCATGGCTTTCGTCACCGCCAACAGCCGACCGGCGTCGATCAGCTCCGTCGCGCCGACTCCGGCGGCGCATCCCCGCGCTCTGTCCCGGAAGGTGGCCGCCGTGACTCACTCGACGCCATCAGCGCTGCCCAGCTCGACGAGAAGCTTCGCGGGCTGAGCTTCGACAGGGCCAGCTTTACTTCCGAGGCCTATCCCTCCATCGCCGGTCAACGAGTGATTGATTACGAGAATGCCCTCACGCCCTCGCCCCGACAGCCATTGGGCTTCAAAGTCATTAAGCGATCCGATCCACGACCTGATGGCGTTCAGCTTACAGACTTTCCTAACGGTATGCCGTGCTCGCCCTCGGAAATTTGTACACATGAGGGCTAATAGACTGCGCAGAGATCTTGACCCATGTCCTATCCCACTTGCATCCCGATTCCCACTCGGCGGTGGCGCTCGTCTCGAAGCGCTTCTACGCCCTCGTCACCACCCCCCATGCGTGGCGAATGGCCTTTTTGCGATTCTTCCCGGGCCATGTCATGCTGGATGATAACTCCGGGAAGCCTCGCTCGGGCCCCCTTGAAGAAGATGCCTCCGAATTTGTGCGATCTGAGGCGCGCTATTTCGCGCGCCTGACGCCGTTGGCCACATGGAGGAGCGAGTACTTGCTGCGCACACGTCTGCTTCGGGGCCTTGTGAGGGGCAAGCCGGGCTCCGGCATTGGGTCTTCCACTCGCAGCAGCAAAAAATCAAGTGCCGTTCTGACCTACAACTCGAAGCTGCCTTGGGTTGTTACGCACGTACACGCCGTGTTCTCTACCGCCGCCGCAAAGAAGCCTCCTCAGGCGATCCACGGAGCGGCAGACCTGGGTGTTGGGACAATTAGCGATCCTACCAACGGGAGAGTCGAGAAATGGGGCTTCAACGACCCGTTTTCGACGCTTCAGCTGGATGAGGTTATGCCACAATTGGAGCCATACGGCGTTGGAGACGGACCTGCTGCATGCCCCAATGTCATGGACGTCAGCCAGCCTTATGGGCTTATCTCTGGCGAAGGCTTTCCCGGCGGACGCGCCTATTTCCGTCCCGCAAACGAGCTGCGTGGTCGATATCTCGGCACTGACACCGGCGTGATCGACACGTATCCTGACATTCCCAAGATCCCGGAACTGTCAGAGGCACTCTCGAGTGTCTGGATCGCCAGGTCTACAGCGGTGCCCAACATGACGCACTCGGTCGTCGGTATCATGACAGGTTCAACGCTAGGAGTTGTTACATGCTATGCCCTCGGAGGAGACGGTAGCGGTCCCCGACACGCCAACGGCGAGATGACGGCACGTTGGGTTCTCAGCCCAGGCGTCCCCATTGTGTCTCTCAAGGTCGACGAGCAGTATACTCAAAAGCGCAAGACCGCTCAGCGAGTCTGGGCTGTCGCTCTCAACGCCCTGGGCGAGGTTTACTACCTCGTCGATGTTCCTAAGTCACCCGTCGAGCGAGCCAAGGGCGAGGACATTACCAAGAACGCTTGGTACGCTGGCAGATCGGTCTACTGGCAGCTCATCGACCAGACCCGCCGCCAGGCACAGGCCGATGATCTGGACAAGCATGCGCTCAAGGGCGCTTACTCTCCTCGATCTCCTGCGGACGCGATGAAGTTGAGCAGGGAGCAGCTCGTCGCAGAGGCTCGCGAGATTGACAAGTTCATGCGATACAAGCCTAACCATTTCCGAAGAGTCTGCGACGGCTGGGACATGCGCAGAAGACTCGAAGTCGATTTTGCCAACGACGATGGCGGCGGCGCAGGAGAAATCATCGTGTCCATCCGTTGTGGCCTTGACGAATCGGAGCCCGAAGTCACACGTTTTGTTAGATCTGTCGCCCAAACGCCCCGGCCTAGTGCCGAAAATGCTTCCACTCCCTTGGAAGAGTCAATACCGGTCTTGACGTCTTTGTTCGGAGATGGCATCGTCGATGTCAAGCCTATGGTGGCACAGCAACCGAGCAAGGGCGATGTGACGCCGGCTTCTTCGGGTTTGCTGACTCCCCCGGCCACGCTCAGCTCGCTGGACGAATGGTCTGTTTCCAATCTGGCACTGGGAAGCCACAAGGTGTCAGAGATCACAGCATCTGCCGTAGATCTCTCCTCTCACGCTCTTGTGACTCTCTACGAGGACCCCCTCCACTTCGGGCACAAGTCGGCTGCCACTCCCACCATGTCACCGCAAACCGCGGAGAGTGTCGCAGAGATCCCAGGCCGAAGGACCCGCATGATTGCCGTCGGAACCAAGACAGGCAGCGTGGTGCTTTGGAACATGCGCGACCAACAAAACACGGAGGTCAAGCCCCTTCGAGTGATCCAAACAGACTCTCCTGAAATCTCCTGCCTGGCCTTAACGGCTCTCTACCTCGTCCACGGAGGAACCGACGGCCTGGTCCAGGCATGGGACCCTCTTGCTTCAACTCTGGAGCCCCTTCGCACCCTCAATGCCCGCTCCGCGGGTCGCGTCCCTCGTCACATGTTGACGATGAACCCTTCACTCAGTGGCGACACGTATCCGGCTGCGCGGGCCATCTACCTCGACCCTGACCCGACAGTCCTGCGCGGCATCACCTCCTTTGGCGCCTTCTTGCGCTATTGGGCTTACAGCGCCACCACTCAACCTCCCGGCCGCAAGCGCCGTCTTCGTCACTCTGATATTCACGGCCGCCTTGCGACGCGTCGCCAGGGTGGCAACGTGTCTGGTTATATCGCCGCCGAAACCGCGGAACTCCGCCGAGAGCAGGAGCAGAAGGCTCGTGAAGATGCTTGGCTGCGCAATCGCTTCGGCGTTGGTGCGTTCGGCGACTTAACCGAAGAGGAGGCCATCCAGTACGCTGAGATGATCTCCCAGGAGACCTTGTTGTTGGAGGAGCAGCGGCGTACTAGCGCCAGCGACACTGGCTCGGCAGCTGACGGCGGCTTGGACACGGCGTCTTCGTTCAGCGAGAGCACAGTCGATACGATCACGCCGGAGCCAAGTGTGACCGGCTTCACACCGCCCCCTCCGGTGCCCGAGGAGGGTGAATACGAAGTGCAAATTCAACAGGCGCTTAGGCTCTCGCTCATGGAGGCTGTCAACGATACTGGACCGTCGCCGCGAGGCAACAGCTCAGGCGATTACGAGTTTGCAGTCAAGTATAAGCCCAAGGCGAGTAAGAAGACGAAGCGGTCACCCTCTACATCTCCGTCAGCAAGCTACACACCCAACGCCGGGTACAACGCAGTAGGGTCCTCCAGTAGAGCCACACCCAGGGACGACGACCTGGAGCTTGCTCTGGCCCTGAGCGCCGGTGACGCTGGTTCCAGCAGACCCCCGCCGCAGGAAGACGACCTCGAGTTGGCTTTGA